AACGTGAAAATCTCTTCGAGCTGTATTCCATATGATTTAGTAACATGGAATTCTGCAGAAAAATCTATACTAAAAAACTACACTACTTATGGGACAACGCAATGCTGTCATTTCCTGACATAATTATGCGCGTTATTCTTTGATCCAGCCGTAGCTCTGCTAGAATAGCCTCTGGGATGAGCGCCTAGCCTACTAGGTCTCAGGGGGATTTGGTAGGGACAGTTCTTGCCGGCTACAGAAATTCCAATTTTTGCAAGGGGAGGGAAACCCCGGGGTGCGTGAACCATTTCGCTTAACTTTTACACCCACCCCGGAGCTTCCCTCCCTGAAAAAAAGTGGATTACTTCATGCAATATGAACTGTCGCACCACATGCCCCCCTTACTGGATGAGACCTCTGCTATTTTGCATTTCAGGGTCGATTTCTGAAGAAACAACGTCCATCGTCCGCCTCGTTCACGTACTCTTTGGACGCGCAACCGACGGACGACGTTGAGCCACACACTTTGCAAGTTCCAAGAATTGTCGAAAACTGCACTCAGTACCTCATGGCTTACGGTACGTTCAGGTGTTAATGGCTCATCGTTTGCACCGCTCAGCTTTCGTTTTAGGGCTGAATACTGTTGGTCTCTTCCGGATCGCTGGGAATACGAAGCGATGTCGTCTGCTCAAGACGGCGCTAGAAAAGGTGATTTCTTTTGCCACAGGTTATTTTTTGGCTAGCATACCAGGCCTAAAATGGTATAACTTAGCGTACCCAAGCCTGTAATCAAACGTAATGAACGTTTGTGTAGAGATTCTTAAATGCATGTAAATAAATGTACAAAAACCATCAGCCGGTGGCACTGTCTATCTGGTGGGTTATAGCAAGCAGAGGATTGTGTTGCTATAACTCCAGACAAAACAACCACAGATGAATCGGGAACCGCCAAAACATAGTTCTGAGACGAGACATAACAAAGTCAAATCGTTGTTTCGAAACTTTTCTGGCATTCCAAGGGCCACGTAGGAAGAAGATAACCAATTTTTTGTTCGTTACTTATTACCAACTCTTGTTATTCGATGGGTTGATGACATAATTTAGTGCGGCTTTTTTCAAACCAAATTTTAGCCAGCGCAACGATGAAAATTTGGCAAAAAAATGTTTGTAAGATATTCGGAGCACAGCCCACCATCCCTCGAGGAATGCTTTTATTTGTCTGGGGGTAGTCGGCCGGTACTTTATGTGAAGAAGTCACGGATTTTGGAGACGTCACCCTCTCACCTCTCCTCATCAAGTCATCCAGCTCGTACGAATAGATAGAAATTCATGTCGTTTGCCAATTTTTTCAACGGATCGCTGATTGAATGTCTTTCACAGTCTTTATGAGCTGTTTGTCGATAATATGCACATTGTGAAACTCTTCCAAAAATGCTTTCGGACTTGCCGGCTTTTCTGATTGATCCCTCGCTTTGAATAAGTATTTCTGAGATCATCGAAATAGCTCTGCCGCCTTCCAACCTTCAGAAAGTGTGGTTAGAGCGTTATGCGGGCACTAGGAAATGATTTTCGTCATTAGCATTTTTGGTATTGAAGATTGAGGGAGAATATCTTTCAGGTGAAAGATTAGATGCGAAACGTTATTTTTTTAAAAAAAAAAGAAGGTGGGAATAAAAGTCCGCGAAGGATTATGCATTCCCTACTCTATTATTTTTATGCCCCTTTGGTATGCAAAAAATCTTTTTGAAAAGCGCTCAAATTCCTGATGGACTTCCTAATAAGGTCGGATTTTTTCAGGCTGGTGGTTCCATGGCGATCACCAACGATCTCGTCGAGAACACAACAGCGCACGATGTGGCCACTCTTTGAAAGAGCACTTTCGCGATTTACCGCAGTCCCTGCTGCCCCGAGAGCACTACCAAGCCTACATTGCCGCGTCCAGTAAGGGTTCCATTCAGCATCTCCCAAAACTAATGCCTCAACGCTGTTCGCTTTAGGAGTGCCGCTAGATGAGCGCATTGACGTAGTTCGACTGCTCGTCTCGTTACTAGGACCACCTAACATCGACACTCTTTATGTGCTGCTGAAGTTCCTGCACGAGGTGTCTCTGCACAGCCACAGTCCTACGCACCAGGTGCATCACACGGGTGTAGAGGTGAGACAATGTCGCTACGGTGCAACCAAGAAATGAATCCTTTCCAGTTGCGATGAGTCGTTTCTTGCAAAGAAAAATTGTGGAGTGATGGCGTTATTGTAACATCCTTTTGATCCACGCTTTTGTCTCGAATCGGAATCGTCAGGAAGTTTGGAAACCTCTGTATTTGGCACAAATTATGTTACTAGTGAAGTAAGTTTGGCACCACAGTAATGGCCTCGTAGAGTGCACTGAAACCCATAGCCTGTTGATTAAAGCAACAGTCCAGCAGTGAAGTCGTGTCTGAAGTCGCTTTTAGTGTTTGTTGTTTCTCTTTGTGATGCTTAGAGTAATCCCATAAGTATTACACTGCTGTTCCGGGGTCTGCGGCCGCAGTATCTATCGTGCGCGACAACTTGGCGCCAGGTATCTTCAAAATGCTTACAAAGTGAACTTATGGCGACTAATCTTAGCATTTGGACGAGTTACGTCGCGCACACCCCATGACACGCAACGTGGATTACGGCGTAGCGGCTAATTCAAATACGCGCGGGTTAGTTGAGCCGTGGAGCAGGCAAGTTCGTACAACTCGTCCGGCCCCGCCCCTTCCTTATTTCGAAGGGAATCCTGTTTAGGGCTTCATCGACGGTTTTCTTTGCTTCTTTTTTTCGACACGGCATCAACAATCCCATTAACAACGGGTGTGACCCCACAAATTAGATCTGGTGATCTTGCTCTATAAGAAGCTCCAAAACAGTGCTGCGAACAAAACCAAGCAAAAACAAAACGAAATCATGCAGAAAGAACACACCGAGATAGCCCTGAAAGATTAGTTCACTCTGAACCCATCCAGAATCTATCTTTATCTCTGCCTTTGGGCTTGTTTTCAACTTTTCCCAGAGAACTCAAGCTACTTCTTAACGAAGCCATTCCTTCACGTACCTGGTTCCATCCGAGAGCCTCCCTCGTCATTGGCAAGAGCAAAGAATAACACTGCAAACCAATTTAATTGTCCATTTAGGTGCAAGGGAATCGAATGGACACACGGAACTTGGCAACAATTTTTGCCCCATCCTATACTACGACCGGATCACGGCAAACTCCACGCGACACTCGCTGAGAATGAACAGCAAATTAGCCATTGTGGAGACGATGATTGCCCACGTTGAAGAAGTGTTCAGGGTAAGAATTCTTGGATCTCATCCAGTAAGGGTGGGCATGTGGTGCGACAGTTGCTACCGCTCACAGAAATCCTGATTTTTGCAGGGGAAGGAAACGTCGGAGTGCGGGAACCATTCCGCTTTCGCTTTTAGATCCACCCCGGCCTCCGCTGCAAAAATTGGATTATTTTAGCCGATATAGAGTGTCTTACCACATGCCCCCCTTACTGGATGATACTCGAATCCTTCAAAGTTCTAACATTTATATTCTTTATACTCCTATACTATCAGATACCAAAATGCAATATCATACACACAAGCTGCGTGACACCGATCCCGATCGCCTGGATCGATTCCTCAACCATCTCTCGAGAACTGAAAGGTTGGTGGCAATTCCGGGGTATGGAGAAGGCCGACGAGCCGTTATCTCTATCCTAGATCTAATTCTGTATTATTCAGTGGCGATATCAGCCATGTGCCGCTTCACGGCAAGCTGAAGGGAATACTCAAAGAGAATTGTCGTCTCAAAAGGAAGCCATTCATGGAAAAAGGTTGGTATAGGGAGAAGGGTTCTTTCTTAAATATATCAACTAGTCTATGTACCATTCCCTCCAGCTTCAAAAAACGAGAAGAGCGTCCCACCCCCCCCCCCCCCCCAGCCCCCCCCCGTCGGGTGCAGACCATACACCACAAGTGACGACGGCCTCCAAGTAAATCTGGTTAGTGGTTCATAGTGATAGCTGATTTTTGGTAAATGATAGTTGTAATTAGTGACAACTGATAGAATACAACTGCAACAGGCTAATCATTTCATTGGCAGAAAACATTTGTGGAGGCCGTCGTCACTTGTGGTGTATGGTCTGCACCCGACGCTCTTCTCGTTTTTTGAAAGGGAGTATACTTCTCTATTTCTTATTCAGATTCGCTATCAGCCAAAGTCTGCTCGTATCGAAGCGGTTCATGGCCGTTCTCTTTGGGAGGAAGCTCAGGACAGCAGCGGTTCTTCCCGTCCGATTCTGCTTGTCCATCGACAAGCTCCTGTCCTTCTGATGAGAATGAATCTAAAGAGGTGGCCAGTTCGACCAGTCAAAATAATGACCCTGTTAGTAAAGACCTCGCTACATCAGCACCAGGTGAGCTTTTGCTGATATTCAATATTTTAGGGGAAATGATGATGACTGTGTGTTTTCAGATCGAGCTCGATCTCCATCCCGAGAGCGTGACTTTCGCTTGGCAGCTCGTCTCGGAGCCGCTGCTGCTCGACGTCGTTTCTGTAATGTCGTGCGTGCGTTCCGATTTTCCAGCGTCACCAGAAGCTCTCCTAACGTCGCCGACTGCTAAACTGATCGTCAGGAGAGCGATTCGTCTTCGGCCGTTCCGAAGACGTCATTTTGCTCAGCTTTGTTTAAGTGTAGAGTTTAGGCATTTTCTCACGCTGCTGTACTCACAAATCATATCCTCCTTCTGTTAGACACTATTCTCCTTTACATTCCTTTTCAGCATCTCACCATGCATATCACCTTTATCATCATAATCATCATAACCATAGTAATTTGAGTTCCGATCTCACAAGTACGGTTGCACACATTGAATGAGCCTTCATCTTAGCCACCACTTTAACGCGCCAAATAAAGTTACTTTCGCATCGTTTTGATTGTACAGAACAAGCCTCATGAGATTTCTGAACAACAAGGGAATCCAGTACAGTCTTAGGCCGATGTCAAACTTTGCGAATCGCGCGATTCGCAAAGTCTGACATCGGCCTTAAACTTCTTGAGACTTCCTCTCACACAAAAACATTCACTCCTTGCAATGAGAACAGATTTCAAGGCCAGGGGAGGGTAGCTACGGTCGACGGACCACTTGAACCTAGTCCTTTAAGCCGCCCCTGCGCTCTCTCGCGGGTCCCTCTTCTCCAAGGCTTAGCCCCAGGGTGTTCACCCATTTGTGCTCTAGCCATTCGCGGCAGGACCATTGAGGAAAAATCAAGTAGTCCGCAAACCGGGTAACCGCATACATCATGCGCTTCAAGGCGGCCATTACGGTTACAAGGCTTCTGTCAACCAAAGGGTGAGAGCGTAGCTGGAAAAGCACACACTTTGTGTCTTATTGGGACTAAGCCTTTTGAAGGAGATAAAGAAAGAGGAGATGCTGTGATAGTGTGCACTTGTGAGAGCTCCCAGACATCACTACAAAACGCTGAACCGCCAAGCCTCACGGTTGACAGAAGTCCTGAGACCAGCCATAACGCTACCCTTTCCTTTCTCCCCAAGCTTAGGATGTAATCAGCGGTGGGAACGTGTCCTCCACGGGAAGGATAGGATATGGCCCTAGCTATTCGCATATGTCAAATGGCTAGTCCACCCCTATCGCTCGTGTCGTAGAAATTCAGTTAATACTTCCCCGAGGGTAGGCTCCCAAAACTCACCTCCAAATCCTTTCCACCTGCATGAAAGCCTTACTTTCCAGAAAGATGTCCGGTGAGCAGACGGCAGATCTAGTGTAGAGAATAAACTGTAAACTTCCAAAGCTTCCGTTAAATTCCCGAAATTTCGCAAGCATTTGTAGGAATTTACGAAGAATTCCTAGTTTTCCCACAAGTCTTTTTAAGAACTAAAATTTCTCACTAACTGTGAGACCTCTTCACCACTCCTTCACAAATCCCTGCTCCACCAGCAAATTCTATCCTTCCGAGCCGCCCAACCCTTACATCAAAAATCCTTGACGTTTACGCCCCCTTCTTCTGCTAGGCTTTTTAGACTTTGGCGCTACGGTGAGAAGGCACAGACGAGCGGAAAATGCCAATTGTAGCCTGCACCGACAGAGTAAGTTCCGGTCGTGATCAGGGAACTGATTAGCCCTCATATGAGTTTCTTCTAGTTTCTCATAAACAGAAACGTAGCCCCAAGCTCGCACCAAATGGCGAAAAAAGTGCAAAACGAAAGCACCAGCACTGCACGCCAAATTTGTTATCATTAAGGGTTATGGATGAATTCTTGGGAAATTTCCCCAGGTGTTCAGGAGCTAAATTTCACGTCTCTTCAACGAGATGGGAGTTAACGTGTGCCTCCCATGCTCAGCTCTGGTATATTTAGGAAGGAATGAGACTTTCACCATTGGAAAAACCAGAAAATATCAGCTTCTGCGGAAATTTTACAAAAGGCCTGTCGGATAACGAGTGGCTGCTGTTGTCATGGAAGCTACTGGGGGAACCTCGGAACAACGACGTCTTCCAAAGAACACAACAACGCAAAGCAATAGAATATTCAATATTATTTTATTCAGAATTCAAACAAAAACACCTAGTACATATTAAATCCAAACCTATATCTACCTAAAATATAACTTGTTACAACTATTACACGAAAACTGGACTGTTGGCTTCCGCTAAAACGAGCAAGCAACAATCAAGAAACAACATGGCAAGATGTAATCAATTTCACACTAAAGAGCATGTTCCTCAAGCACCGATGAAAGACATGAAACCCGGGAAGATCACATCAGAAAATCATTTCATTCACAAAGTGCAAATTCAAATTCATGGTGCTTCAGAAGCCGGCATTTTCTGGGATGCCAGGTAATCTAACTCATTTTCGTGCACTCGCTTGATGTGTTTTCGTAGCTCACTTGGCAAGGGGTAACTGAAAAGCCATTGAATTGTAAAGCTAACGCTTTTAAAGCAAAAAAACTACCTTCTTCCACACGTGGAACACTCGTGCCTCTTCACATTTTCGTGGATCCGTTTCTTATGGGTGCTCAAAGAGGCATGGCTTGCAAAAGATTTTGAGCAAATATCGCATGCGTATGGCAAAGCAGCCTAAAACAGGGCAATTGAGAGTTGGGCTACGCGGAGCACCTATGTAAGCAGATACTGAAATATACTTACGGAAACAACTTTCACGTAACCGTGGTCGTTCACTCTGGGATCATCCAGTTTTTCGGGATGTTTTCTCCCGATGTGCTTTCTTCTCGCCTGCATTGACGCACAAACCAAAAAACAGAAAGGGCACGACTTATCTGAAATGTTGTATTTTAACTTCTACGAAACATTTTTTATTAAGCTCGAGTTCACCTTTGACAGGACGACCGTAAGGGCTTCCTATGCTGACAGTGCTTGCAGCACCCGAAGAGGAAGAGATAACAGAACCAGAACGACCGCTCATCGAAGAAACCGAAGACATCGCATCAATTTCCTGGCGTGCCTGTCGTCGCTTTTCAGCAATTTTCTCTCTTGCTTCACAATAATATTTATGCCGCTGAAAATAACTCCAGTTTGGAGACACATCGCACATACCAAAAATTTTCAACAAATAGGATTCTATGAAGAACTCTTTTAGTGTCAGTGCGCTTAAGGAGGAGCGTGAAATCTCCCTCCCGCAGCTTAGAACAGCACTGCGAAACTTCAAGAGTATGAAGCATAGCTATGGGCAATATGAAGGGTGGAGCTGAATGAGCGTTTAGCACCAGTATCGCTCGACAAGCATTATTATTTGTTCGAAGTTATCACGAAGGAGCAACAACTTCGTGTTGCAATATGACTTCGTCCAGCGCAAAATAGTGTTGTGGGACATATTTATGCTACGCCTGAAAGAACATGACACGCGCAAACATTTCGAAAGATTTTTACAATTTCTTTAATTCCTGTGCTGTTACATTCACTTTAATCGAACTTCTTGAATCTATCCTCGACAATGAGCCTGAGCAGTGAGATGAGCACTGCGCGTGCCCACCCTTAGCCCCAAAGGTTCAAATCAAAACAAAACCACGAGTTTAGCTATTTTTCTCGCGCCATCCAACAACTAACAATGTCACACCAAGGGAACTTTGGGAATATGATGTTCAGGCACTCCAATTGCGTCAAATTAGTTCTGAAATGGCACTGGTTCCCTTTACATGTCACGACGTAACCGGTGCGACTGCTGCTTCATCAGATTTAATATATGTGTCCCACTCAACCAGTTTTGTATCCATTTCCCTAGTTCTCACTCAATAACGGCCAGGCAAAACAAACTGAATCTGAGCCTTTGGGAAATTGTCCCAAGAAGATTTACTACTTACCTCCACTTCCTCGACTATTCCGAATTTTTGACCACACTTTTTGCATTCATGTGTTTTATCAATCTTTTTGCCATCCATTGACTGATCATGCACTTTGCTCATATGGATTTTCAGCGATACCGTCTCTCTGAAATAAAAATAAGCAAGTACAAAGGCAATACAGTTGGCCTTGCATCCTACTTTTTTCACACTTTCTTCGCAAACTTTTCTTTGAAATAGACTTCTGCTCCAGCTTTCCAGGCTTTCACGCGCCGTGCCCACTCTGTGCACTATTTCAGAAGAAGTACAATACGATGACTCCAGGGTATAAAGCACTTATGATAAACTGTACATATAAAAAGCAAAAATGGGGTGCCTTTACTCGGAATTTCGGTTTTCCCTCGTTTCCTTTAGCAGCGACGCAGCTCTAAGCGTCCTTAATTTTTGGCCAATTCTCCTGATTCCTTTTCATCGACGCAGCACTAATTGCCTCTACTTTCACATTTCGCTGCACAACACTGACATTACTGCTTCTTCAAACAAGTGATATCAATCAAAAAAGTGTGATCGCTTAAATCTTAAATTGACGCACGGTACTAACTGATCCTGATTCCCACCGATAAGGCCTATCATAGTTACAGGCTCGGCTTCGCACATGGCAATGGCCCCGAAAACCATTGCCCACTGCTCTTTGATGATTTTAACGTTATTCGATAAATATGTTACAAAGTCGCAGTTATTAGGTCTCCGCTAGCCAGAAATTGTGAAAATATAAGCCGAAGCGGCAAACGTGACAGACCTGAACGACTGCTTACAAATTGAACACGAAACTGCAGCTTCTTTGTGAGTCTCACTGTGTCTACGAAGATAGTGCTGTTTGCTGAATACGCGGTAGCACAATGGACATTTATATTTGTATTCCTGAACGATAAAACAATGGACTGAAGATGAGGATGCACGAGTGTTTAACCTGATCTTTGAAATGGAAAAAATACCTTCTTCACAGCTAAATGCTTCTGCGAAATATGCTTGCGCATTTCTTCTTCATCAAGGAAAACTTTACTGCACACAAAGCAGCAAAAGAGAGTGGTGTTCTGAAGAGTCAATAATTATATATACAGCTACGTCTATTCTTATAATGAAGATCATCAGCCACTCCACGAACCTTGTTAGCCATTGCTAGTTCCCTTTTCAATTCTATGAGACGATTTTTTTCCTCTCTCCTTTCACTCGCAACCTTACTGTGTCTGTCCCGTTTCTTCATCAATTCACGAACATGGACGAAATCTTTGGCACTTTTTTCCATCTCCTGAAACATCAGAAAATTAAAATAAAGGATTGCAAAATGGGAGAGTCGTCAGTAGTTGCAACTGATTGAATCGCGCCTCAAATTTCACAGTTTAGAACCACGTGGATTCCACCAAATCAATCCTACTGCAGTGTGGTCCACATGTCTTCACCAACTCAACATGTTTGGCTGCTCAACGTGGCATTCCCGAGCAACCCTTCTTCCCAATACCCTCTGACTGTGACGGACCCAACTCCCACTGCGAGTAGTCATCGAAGCAACATAGAACTTGGCAATATTTGCCTGATGTAACTCCTCCCATTGTCTTGACAGTCTCTCGGTTAACAGAGTTTTCGGAATGAAGGCGATAATACCTTTATCATTTTTTCTGCGTCCGTTGCCTTCTCTTGTGCTTCATTCTCTTCTCTTTGAATTTCTTCCTCGAGCTAAAATCACACAAGTTGAATGGTGACTTAAAATGATAGAACGGAACAACAAACCTGTGAAATGACATCCTCATACGAATCCTCCGTCATGTAATAGAACTTCTTAATATCTTCATCTTCTTCGAAAGCACGGTATTCATACACGCCATTCTCGTAAAGCCTATCCAAGTGTGCGCTGAAATAAATGAATGTGCGTTCAAAACTTCCAAAGAAAAAGGGAAGAAGAGGTGGCTGCTTCACATACTCTGTTTTACACCACGAAGTTGATGGTTTTTCGCAATCCAAGCCTTCGAGCACAACATCAGCGTAAGAAAAAACCTGTAAGGCAATCGCTTGAGGATAAGTCATCCGGGAGTAAAATTCGGTTCGAGATGACCGAATAGGTTTAATTACCCATGTTTGTGACAGAATTTAACGATACCCCACCACAAAAACGGCAAACAGTATTTTCAAAGAACCTATGACCTAATCCCAAGTTTGAGGTATATTTCTACTTTTCCACTGGATATTTCCAGGGTTTTGGTTTAATTGACCCTAGTTTGAGGTATACTTGGCACTACACGCGTGAACCATCAAAGAAAATACAATTTTTGCTCTAAAAATGAACGTCAGATACATTGGCTGGATTCTGGTCCTGCGTTTCAGCACAGTTATGGAGATCGGCTAGGACATAGGAGTCATCAGCCTTGAGTTGTTGAATACCATTAGGATCGGAAATAGCGACAGGAAGAGGAGAAGAGACCGACATCGGAACCAACTCAGCAAAATCCATGACTGGAACACGCGACGAAAACCGACGCGACAATGGTGGTGACGAGATTCGTCAGCTGCGATCGATAATTCATGCGCCTGCGCAGCGGTCCCGAGCAGATTCTTGGCACGGTATGCCTTGGCAAGTTGCCAAGCACTCTGCTGACCGCAGAGAAGTTTGCTCGTTTTGAGAGTTTTCCTTGCATTTCACTTCGTTGTTGATTTACTGAGGTTGCGGATGGATCAAAGACCACCGGCATGGTTCTCTTCGGGGTTTTGTCCACTTTGGAAGTAACTCTGAGCTGTATTGCGAGGGAATCATACTGCTTCCTTTACAAATGC